TAAGTTACCTTCGTAAAAAAAAAAAAGGGAAAAAAAAAAAAAAGTAAAAAAGCTAGTTTTAGTTAGAAAGAAATATCTTTAGTAGAGAGAGAGAGAGAGAGAGAGGGGTGTCTGAGACCTTTCTCTGAGTAACTCGAGTGAGGGCGTCCATGAGGAGCTTCTCGCAGCACTCAGCCTCTCGCAGCGATGTGATTTTAGAGGGATCGGCCTCAAAACAACTGCGCCACCACCATTATACAAATACATCTGAGACTAATCTTGCTATGTTATCTATCTTAAAACAACCTTATAACTCATAAAAAAGGGAAAACGTAATTTCATGTGGAAAATTTCTTATATGTTTGATGCTCCTCTCATTAATCAAATAACCTGCAAGGCAAAAATGTCCATCAAAAGTCTCTCTCTCTCTCTCTCTCTCTCTCTCATTCGGTTCCTTCAAATGGCTTGATATTTTACTTCATAGAAAATGATAAGAAATAAATAAGCAAATTAATCTACAAACCTTAGTCGCCCTTCAGCAATCTGTAGTTGTTGTTGAAATCTACTAATTTCCTGTTGAAGCTCCTAACAATGAAAAACACAAAATTTAGTCATAAAAATCAAATCAAATGAATCAAATTATCCCAAAATACTGAACCAAAGTTTCATAAACTTGCTCGTCTATAAAAACAATAATACCTGAGAAAATATAGATAAAAATGAAGCTCCTAAGATTATAGTGATGTGAAAAATGTATTGGTAGTAAAAAAATAGAAAAATTAAAGGAATTTACCTCAACACTAGAGTTAACACTGCTCGCAGGACTGGTCCAAGCGTCGGTAACCGATCAAGAAGAAATGAAAATGCATAACACCATTAAATAAATAACAAATAAACTAAACTAAACAAAATTTGAAAAGTGGTGCAATAAAAAATTTAAGAAAAAGTATAAAAGGACAAAATTTCAGGTCTCCCCTGTATCTGAATCTCTGAATCTTAACCGCCATATATATCAGATCGACTCCATTAGAGATTTAGACCCAAAAAAAAAAAAAAATCAATTAAATAAAATATAATAAACGATATTTAATTTATTATTATCTTAATATGTTTGGTGTTACCTAGTGAGATGGGAAGCGATGTCGCTTTCGCACTTGAGTTTCTTGAGCGCCCTGTTGAGATACTGCATGCATGCATGCATCCACCGCATAAGCTTTCATTCCCCAAAACTCTAAGGTGTAGAGAGAGAAAGCAGATTGTAAATCTTAAAAATTACCCACCTCCTGATTCTGAAGTGGCCTGCAATTATGGATATGAGAGAGAGAGAGAGAGAATGAGTCAAAACAATTAATGAATTCATTAAAAATGAAAAATCAGATGAACAAAAGAGAAAAGTATAAGAAAAATTGTTATTATTACCCTCCTCTATCATGATCAGGAAGGTTTACATAACGCGCCAAGACGTCCTCAATCCTGAAAATCCAAAGATGAAAAAGAAACCCCAAAAAATGGACAAAAACCCAATGAAATGAAACAAATCAATTAACAAATTGAAGAAGAAACCCCAAGAATCAAATAAACAAAAAAAATTGAATTGGAAAGAAAATTCCATCTTTATCAACAATAATGAAACCAATTCAGAAAAGAAAAATCTGTGTCGGAAATTCTCACCGTTTTTTGCCGGAAAACTGACTTAGTCGACCGGAAGGTGAGAACATGATCAAAGCTATGTCTATATCGCACAGAATGGAGAGCTCATAAGCCTTCTTAATGAGCCCATTCCTCCTCTTTGAAAAGGTTACCTGTCTATTGGTACTGTTCTCTATTTTCTTAATCTGGAGTTTAACGCGACCCATTATCTATCTGCAAAGGTAGAAGAGAGAGAAAAAGAAAGAAGAGAGAGAGAGAGTGCCCCAAAAAAGTGAATTGCCTAAAAAAGGTCTGAATCTGACACCAGCAACCCAACAGAGGGAAATGAAAGAAGAAGAAGAAAGAAAAAAAAAAAAAAACAGTAACAAGAAAGAGACGGTTTATATAAGAAACAAGTGGGTGATTGGTTTGCTGGGTGTGTTTATTGAGAGGGTGAGGACGTTGTTTTAAGAGAGAGAAAGAAGACAGGGCCAATTCAAAAGAAGGGATTTGAGACAAGAGCGCGGCTCGCTCCCAAGAAAACGCAGCAAAATGTGGACTCGAATGGGATGGGATCCCTGGTGCGCAGGGATATGACCTGTGGAAGAGCGAGACCCTCTCTCTAAGAGGTCGGACCCTTGGATTGTAGTTTCGATCTCGATCTCTCTCTCTCTCTCTCTTGATCGGTCTCTTTCTCTCTCTACGTTTCCAAGTCGGTAAGCGTCGTGCGACGATGGGACATTCATATTCCTCCAAGCCCTTCACGGCTATCAAGAACCCATCAAACTCACAGGTGTTCCATTCCTTAACTTATATTTCCCTTGGTTTCCATTTCTCTGTGGCAACGGGTCGCGTCCGGATAAGTCCCCAAACATGATACGGGACCTTGACCCGGATTCGGACCCGAATTCCCCAAAAATATAATGACTTAGACCCGAACCCGATTAGATCTGACCCAAAAATCAAAATATCTATATATTTAATTATATTTAAATATATTTCATAAATTGGGACTCAAAAAATATTATGAGACCCAAACCCAAATAGTGTTCAACCCTAAGATTTGGACCAAGACCTAAATCGGGTCTAGGTTGGGTCCATGTTCATTACCACCCTACTCTCTCTCTTATGTCACGTTTGGTTCGCGTTTATATGAAAATATTCTCTTATGCGATCAAATGTGTAAATATTTTTACATCAATTAGTTGACAATTGTTGTGCAGAGATGCCCCCAATTGTTATGAAAATATTCGTACAGTTCAAATGTGAAAATATTTTTGTATCAATTAGTACAATTGCTGTGCAGAGATGCCCCCAATTGGTATGAAGATATTCGGATAGTTGACCGCATGAGAGATTTTTTTCATGTGAAAATGTTTTCTAAAAAATATTTTCATGCGAACCAAACGTGCCATTAGTGTTGTTTGCCTTTCTAAGATATGATGGTCTTTGGTTTACTAGCGCAGTGATTTCAGTTTGGGCGATCGTGCGACTTCCTTATACGGTTTCATTCTACGAGGACAGTGTAGGGTTCTTGGGAACCCCTAGCTTGCGGAATCTGGAATCCCAAGTATCGGGATCCTACCCAAGATCGTGTACATAATTGTCTAAATGCGAAGTAAATGAATACAACTATAAATCGAGTGCAAAAAATAAAACAAACATAAAAAAACATATCACTAAAACACACGATTTACGTGGTTCACCTCGTAGGGCTACATCCACGGCCTCGACAAGTAGAAATCCATTATCATAATAAAAATTACAATTTTGGGTTACAAGAGATGTTAGCTATCCATAAATATCGGTAAAAGACCATCACCAATCTTCCTTTCTAAACTCGCTCTCCCGACTGAGCAATACTGTCGATCAATACTTTCTTTCTCATTGCAATAACGCTACCCGAAAGATAAACTCGAGAGACTTTCTTTATCTAGAAGTAGAAGCCTTAGTCAGCTCAAAACTCATGGGAATACCGCCTCTCTCTCGGAGGCCGTGTCTCTCTTTTGGAGATCCATTCCCATAACCCCCAAAGGGATGACCCTCAAAAGAATGGGTATTATGTCTTCTTTGATTCCCTTATATACATTTTACTTTCTTGCTGCCCATGAAAGTCATTTTTCTTTTACCCATAATGCCCTTGAAAATATGAGTATGGCGATTTGGCTATCACCAAACCCAAAAATCTCTACCTTGATAGCAAAATAACCATAATTACATTGACAACCTACATTGAATAGGTTTTTTGATTTCTTTTCACTTGCCCCTATTGTAGAGTTTTCACCAACGCGTTGCCTCTATTTTTGTCCATCTCAAACCATGTATCCATCAAACACCACCATTCATCTTTTTCTTAATGCAAATCTTAGCCTGTATACATCTTGTGCTCTGATACCAATTGTAGGATTTTTGGGAACCCTAGCTTGCGGAATCGGGAATCCCAAATACCGAGATCCCACCCAAGATCGTATACATAATTCGGTAAATGTGAAGTAGATGAATACAATTATAAATCGAGTGCAATAAATAAAATCATTAACATAATAATACCACAACAACACACAATTTATGTGGTTCACCCCATAAGGCTATAACCACGATCTCTCAAATAAAAATACATTATCTCAATGAAGATTGCAGTTTTGGGTTACAAGAGATAATACCTACCTCTAATCATCGGCAAAAAATCATTTCCGATCTTCCCTTCTAAACTCGATCTCTTCAACCAAGTAACACCGTTGATCAGTACCTTCTTTTTCACCATAACATCGCTACCGATAAGATAACCTCGAGAGCAACGAGAGAATTTCTCTCTCTAAAAGTAGAAGCCTTAGCTAATCCAAAACTCATATGAATACCACCTCTCTCTTGGAGGTCATGTCTCTCTCTTGGAGATCTATCTCCATATTGGAGATCCATTCCCATAACCCACTACCTTCAAAAGGATGAGTATTATGTATTTTTTGATTCCCTTATATAGGTTTTACTTTCTTGCTGCCCATGAAAGTCATTTTTCGTTTGCCCCATAATTCCCTTGAAAATATCGGTATACTGACATAAATATAGACGGTGTTTTAGAAGTAGTTGGTGTTTTCTTTGATGTTTTGTATTTGAAAATGCATATATTCGTAAAACAAAATTCATTTAAGGCTGCAATCTCATTTGGAGAAGCATGGTAGCATTAATTTGTATCATTCATTTACACTAAGCGGTGTAGAATTAACACAATCTAAAAAAAGATGGGTAATTTATTGATATTGTCTTAAACGATGTGTTAAATCTACCCTGTTCAACTAAAATAGACCAAGAAGGTTATTGCAACTTTATTTTTACACCTAGGGTCACAACTTTAAGTAAGCTTTTCTATTCATTTACAAAAAGAAAAAGTTTATATAAAGTTGCAATCTTAAAATATAGTATTAAGACGCATCTAAGAAACCCATAGTAAAACCGTTGTTTCGAAGTTGGAAAACCCTCTAGTTGATCATCTCGACATCAATATATATGAATATGAGAGAAAAAATGAAAAAAAAGATTTCGATTCACAAAAATAGCACATCTTACAACACCTTAGCTGGACCATCCATTTTCAAGATTTTAATGTGTTTTTAGATCTATTTGATTTAAACCATATTTGGGATCTAAAATTTTATAATTAGAGATCAAAATAGATTATCAAGCTATCCTAGGAATTTTTAACACCAAAATTATATCTTATAATAAAATTTGGTGGTGCAATTTGATCGTATAAGGTTGTAACCTTATATAAACCACAACTTTACAAAGTAGTCACAATTAATCTTGACCATTGGATGTGAAATTGGGTGGCTACATTTATTGCATTGACCAAGCTCAAACTTCAAGAGAATTTTTCTCGAACTTTGTGACACATCCAAACTATCCGATTTCACATCGGATGGTTATAAGTAATTGTAACTTTCTTGTATCAAAGGTAAATGATGTCATTATACACAATCCCAAAAATTATTTTACTATTTTTTTTCCCAAAGAGATCATCATTGACTGTAGTGTTCAAAATTGGGTGCTAGAGTATGTCATTGATCTCAAATTTAGAAAGAGGTTTTTTGAACTTTGTCGCACACTTCAAGTCGTAGGATCTGACATCTGAGGGTTAGGAGTGATAGTGACCTCTTTGTGCCAAATGTAAATGTAAATGGTCTTTATACTAAATGGATTGTATATTGTTAGACGATTTATTTTTGATACAAAGAAGTCACAATTATTTTTAATCATTGAATGTGTAATCCTATAAATAAAAATCACACTTTTAAGAAATTTTATCTTGGACATTGTGCCTAATCAATAACACATCATCAACCACCCGATTTCAAATCTAATAGTCAATGATGATTAGGACCTCTTTGTATCAAAAGTAATATACTTTACCGGAAATTCTTATTTGTACGACACCTTTACAAAAGCGAGTATAATTATGGTAGTAAATCATAAAAAGCCGTAAAACTCAGAGGTGGCTTCGTAGCACCCACTTCTACAGGTGCATCTAGCTCCATATTTGCCCCGTACAAGAATGCACAAAATAACGTCTAAATTAGAAGTTCTATCTCATGTCATGTCGAATATCGTTCTTACACTCATCAAATACCTTCTAGCAGGCAGAATCCTTGCATAGACTTGATTTTTCTTTCATTAGAGTCAAAAATAGGGAAAGGGGCTGGGTTCGAGATGCTAATACCCTCACACTTTAATCACCACGTTTTGGTTTTCATTTCCAAAGACTCCACCCCACGAATATTTTCAAAACTAAATTGTTTGAATAAACAGATAGGGATTGTCTTTCCCATTGAATAACAAACAAAAAAAAAAAAAAAAGAAGGAAAAAAAGAAAAGAAAAAAAAAATACCTTGAGGTACTATTTGTCCAGGTTCATATAGGGCGATTATCGCAGTGGAGCTTAATGGCACCTTCAGGTGGGACGATAAGTTTGTTATATCTCTCTCTACGTTTTGGGCAATCTGTCTAGAATGGGATCAGAAATTCACAAAGACTTAATTATTTAGTAGAATATACTTGAAAATATGCAATATTTGATTAGTAAGTTTTAGTTGTTTTAAAGATTTGAGCTTGAGCTTTGTAGCTAAGGTATTGATAGTTGCTGGGCACCTTCCCAAATTGTAGCCTGCTAAATTATCCAAGGAAAAAAAAAAGAAAAGATCGTTTTTTCTAAGTAAGGGAGCAAGGAATGAACTCGTCTAGAATATATGGGTTAAATTGGAACTTAAATGTGCAAGGGATCCTTTAACCTTGAGGAATGTAAGGGTAGCAACAGACCGGGCCTGTGCCAAGGCAGGGGACAGCCATGGGCCAGGATGGGCCAAAAATAAATAAATAAAAATTAAAAGAAAAAACAAGAAAAAAAGATCAAACCGATTCGAATAAGTCTGTCCCTAGCCCCGGCCTTCAGGCCACAATTGTAACCCAAATTTTTTAAGGACCGGGCCACCTGACCCTTTACCAACCCTAGTGGAGAACAAAAGAGTGCATTAATTTAACTGCTTCAAAATCAGGGTGCTTTACTTCTGTTGGTAATTGCGACATTGATCACGTAGTTAAGAAATACTTTTTTCAATAAGGAAGTGGATGTGGTTTGTGTAATGTGGCGATCTTAAATAATCAAAGTAAATTG